AAAGGAGTCGGTGCTAAAATGGATGGGTCAGTACAAAAGCTAGCTTTAACCCATCGAGCGTCACTTGCAGTGGCGCAGCCGCGCTCATGTGGAGGGGTCTGCTATGATGGGTCAAATGCTGATACTGTTGCCGTCAAAATCGCTCTTCATTCCAAAAAAGTTCCGTTTTAGAAAGATGGTCGCGATAAATCTCATAGAATGAAGTGGGTAACTTGTGTATTGAATGAGGTAGAAGATCTACAACAACCAACACTACCTCCTAGCTTTAAAGAGGACGTCGCTCACCGCTACAGCTTGTCTTCACCTGTTCCAGTGCTTTCGATCTTTGATATTGCTTATAGGAAGCCAGCAGCGTCTCGCACCCTCTATTGCAGATAGGGTTGTCAGGAAGCTCGACTCCTTCGATATAGCAGCCGCTGTGGAGGGAGCATGCTACGAAGCAGAACCCAGAATTTGGCCAAAACAGCTCGTAAAAAACGCTGATACCGCAAAAATGTTAATTTCCTTCACGACATTGCGAATCACCATGATCCGAAATGAAAACCTTCAAGGCAGATTTTACGATGAAAAGGTAGCTCATTGGAAATAAGGGTAGAGGTGGTCAGTGGAGCAGGGATGAAGAAGAAACCATGTGAAACGGCCCGAAACCCGAGAAATGGGACCCCTTCCTTGCCCGTTGATTTGCGCATTGATGCGACTCTCATCGCTGTGCCCTCTTCAACACTACGCTCTCTCTATCTAATCACTCGCCACGTATAGACCTGCGGCGAGTGATTAGATAGTCGGTGGGCGTTTGGGCCAACTGCGCCAAGGGAAGGCCATGCCGGAGCATATCCCAATACTGGTTGGTCCGCACCCTTAGGGACTCTGCCTGTCTTCCCCAAGTAAGTTTTCCCTCCGACTTTCGTTCTTATCGTGGAATCCTCCTTTAAAAATCTGGAGTTCCAACGAAATTCTTCACTTCTTGCCCATTCCTTTTACCATGTCCCAAATGGATACCACCTAGTTTGGATCTTCACACATCATCTTTTTAACCCGCACTAGCCACGTTTTGGGGAAAGAAAATCAAGAAATTTTCTGAGCGATGGAGACAAGTGGTGGACACTCATGGTAGATATAAGACCGGTCAGGAGTTGTAACCAAAAAAGATAAAATTAAAATCAAAAATTTGAAAAAGTGTTGCAGGACTTTCTTTCCAACCTAATATAATGGAGTTAGTCAGGATGAGTAAAGCTTACTCACAGAGCTAACCATGGCTCATCGTAAAAACCAAATGGTATGAAGTCAACATTACCAGGGCATACACTTCATGCTATGTGCTTCGTACCATGTTGAAAGCGCCGTGATGTTGACGTGATGTGATGAAACGTGAACTGCTTTTCATTGCCTAAGCAAAACGCATGTTTGCCACTGCTGTAAAAAGTTCCGGTTATGCCAAAGTGCACCTAATCTCTGAACAATAATCAATAGTGATTAATATAAAAATTCACGAGTAAGTGGATCATCATCAATTCGTTTCCTGTTGCCTCTGTATACCGACACTTCACCAACCGCCGTCAACGATGCACCTAACCACATTAGCAATTGTGATTTGCGCTGCGCATCAAACAGTCTCCATACAGGGAGACTGCAAATTTTTATATAAGAGTTTTTCAAATTATAAGCCAGAGTATCAAGAACACTACAGGAAGTACTTCAAGGACTATATTTTTGTAGGTTCCTGCTTTAGCGTGTATTATCCCAGTAACCTTAAAGTGACCCAAAATATTTTGCAGGACAAACGCGATCTGTTTCTGAGTTACGCAGTAATTCCAAACAACTGCCATGTAACGGAAAAATTCCTCGTCACTGCCATCATTTTCACGCAGGTGCGTTGCATTCATGTGGCACAGGAGGACACTTTTTTTTGCAAAAGTTTTTGCCTTGAATAATCCATATTTTGGAAGGGAAGGGAGCCTGGTGCTCGTGACTGAATTCGCTCGTGCAGAAAGGAAACTGGTGAAGTATCACTCACGGAGACCGTGATGGTGCCTGGGAGCGGACGCTAGTGTGAGTGCCATCTGTGGTACTCAGAATTAACAATAAGCCTTAGGGATGGGCAGGGATTCTGGGGGAGGATATGATCAATTTTTGTGCATGCTACCGTTCTCCTCACTTCTGGGCTTGTTGCTTATATAACCTACTGGAGCCTCCTAAATGAACTGCTTTGTATGATATCCCCCAAGGCCATAAGAGCCCCACCTTGTTTGGAGCTTCATCATAAAATAAATTGATTGTCACGCTTTCCGTTGCATTGTGCTCTGTGTACTACACTGTCCAGTCACCTCTCTCAT